CACCGAACCCACGCAGATCATCATCGACGTCAAATAGGGACGTTCGTCACGAACCTGCACGCAACGGTTCGTTACCAAGGAGAAGAGAATCAACGTCCGCACGAAGTCATAGAGATTCGTCACAAGACTCCAACCCTCGACAAAGCCATTCACCAACATGCAGGTTCGCGCGAAGGCACACATGGTCATCTCTATCTCCACGCAGGTCCCCACGTAGGATGTCACGAACACATTCACGAACGTATGGTTCGCCACGAAGGTCACCATGCAGGTCGCCCTACAGATCGCCACGCAGGTCACCACACAGATCGTCTTACAGATCACCTTACAGATCTCCTCGTTCAGACGACAGTAGAAGACATCCATCTTCAGAGCAGGAAGATGACGGCGGAATTATATTTTCCGACTCGGAAATCAAGTCATGGATGGCCAACGGTTTGGAACTCGCATCACCCTCTAGGAGACCAACGAAGCACTATCATACTTGATGGTGAATGATGATATAGACTCACTCACGATGCCACCTATCGACCCAGTCTTAGACGTTCCAGACAACCTCAGCACAGCCTTCAAGAAGGCAACTAAATACCAGACTCAGAGTATTCCGTCGTTCAACGCTAAGAAGTTCTCTCTACACCACATGGAACCCTTCATGAAGGCCCCAGAGATAGATGAGAATTATAAGATCATCAATGACACTCGGACTAAAGCTTACAAGATAGAAGATAAAAAGCTGGCACAGTTAGACACAGTAACCAGACGAACCTTCTTCGGCCTAGCCAGGTCAAGAGCTATCAACGAGACTCTCATCTCGAAGTTTAAGAATTCAACTTCAGAGGAAGATAGAATGGTTTATTCAGCTCTACTTACACAGAAAAAGGATCATCAGTTCATGTCTGAACACCTATCATCCATTTCTGCAGGCCTAACGTTATCAAGAAGGCAAGGACTGTTATCTTCATGTACTTGGAGCGAGAAGTTTACCAAGACACTCTACAGAGCCCCTTGGTCAGCACCATCCATTTTTGCAGGAGAAATTGATGAAGTCGCCAAGGAAGTCGCTAAAGATTCCCGAGAAGTAATGATGATCAAGTCTATCGATACACTGGCCAGTGTAATACGTCAGACCTCTCAACGTTATTCCGGCAAATCGAAGTTTGCAGGCATCCAGAGAGCAAGGGATAAGAAATCAGGCAACGCTAAAGGAAATAAGGATTCTTTTCGTCGCCCATCCGCAGCTCCAAGAGGTAACTACGGAAGAGGTCGGCCCTTTCGAGGTGCCAGAAGTTCCAGACGATGAAATACAGGTTCGGAACGACTGGAGTCTTCCACCCCCAGCCGTTCCAGTACAACCCTCACAAGTGGGTGGACGTCTGCAACTCTACTGGAAGAATTGGGGAATTCTTCAAGACGACTTCGTATCTCAGATTCTACGCACAGGTTACAGGATACAGCTACAAGCAGTACCACCAGTAACAATCAACCCACTGGTTCACAACTACGCTGCAGACCAGAAGGGAAATCTACTAGAAGCCATCACATCTCTACTAGAGAAAGAGGCAATAGAAGAGATAAAACACTGCGTCACACCAGGTTTCTACTCCCCAATTTTTCTGGTACCAAAGAAAAATTCAAAAGAAAAGTTCCAACTCATTTACAACATGAGGAAATTCAACAAAGATTACCTCCTACCACCCGCAAAGTTCAAGATGATACATCTTCCACAGCTACGACAGCTCATACGTCCGCTAGACTATCTCGCCAGCATAGATTTACAGGATGCATACTTACACATCCCGATCCATCCGGAATCAAGGAAATATCTACGATTCCTGTTCAACGGACGTCATTTCCAATGGAAGGTCCTGCCATTTGGAATATCGTCGGCCCCCTGGTTGTTTACTCGAGTGACAAAGCCCATCAATATATATCTACATCGTCGAGGTCTACGCAGTGCGTTCTACCTAGACGACGGGATTCAAGCTCAGCAAGATCCCAGTCAACTCAGACTGCAACTGAACTTCACCATCAGACTTCTCACTCAACTAGGATGGCTAGTAAATCTCCTCAAGTCGGAACTAGAGCCTACTCAGGACTTGCAATTCCTAGGAATACGGCTTATAACAACGAAGAATCGCATTCTCGTTCCAGAGGATCGTTGGATCAAGATTTCAACAAATGATCTCTCAAGTTCTACTCTCTCCATTACCACTACGAGAATGGCAGAGCCTATTAGGTCTCCTCACGTCAGCTCAAGACATGACGAACAGAGGGAGACTACAACTGCGTCCACTACAGAGATTTGTGAACGCCCACTTACACAGTCTGGATCCCTTCGAAATACCAGACAGGCTAAAACCATATCTACTATGGTGGACTCAGAAGTCGAATGTTTGCGGCGGAAATTACTTAATAGAGCCGGAGTGCAACGTCCACCTCTACGCAGACGCATCACTGGACGGATGGGGAGCACACCTCGACAACGAAGTGGCTCCCGGGAAATGGTCGAAACAAGAAATGAATCTGCATATCAACATGCTCGAGATGAAAGCAGTAGTAAATGCCCTACTACATTGGTCCAACATACTAAGGAACACAAAATTGATGATCCATACGGACAACTCAACAGTGGCGTTCTACATAAACAAACAAGGATCAACAAGATCTTGGAATCTTCTAGACCTCAGCTTTCAACTATTCAACATTATAGACAATCTGAAACATTCCGGGAGCCTGGAATGTAATAGCAGATGCGCTATCTCGACCACATCAACCATCCCCAACAGAATGGATGTTACATCCACAAGCGTTCAGATGCATCATACAGACGATAGGATCTCCACTCGTAGACCTATTCGCCACAAGATTCAACAATCAACTGGCAACATTCGTCTCTCCAATTCCCGATCCGCAAGCATGAGCGACAGACGCTCTAAGCTTCCCATGGGAAGGACTAAACGCGTACGCGTTCCCTCCGCCAGCGTTAAAACCACAGGTATTACAGAAAATCAGGCAGACAAAAAATCTACAACTGATTTTGGTCGCGCCTTACTGGCTGGCAAGAACGTGGCTTCCCGTTCTCTTACAAGAAATCGGAAAAACAACCAATACAACTTCCAGTCCTCGAAAAGAGGATACTCCGCCAGAGCAGCGAAAGCAGTGACACTAGCTTTACCCAGATCTACTTGTAACTTGTATGACGACAAGTGGCAAAGTTTTGAGAAATATGCATCGAGGAAAGGTTTCAGGGCAGTGAAAGCTACACATCCTCAAGTGGCGAAATATCTTTGTCATCTCAGACAAATGAAGAAATTAAAAGGTTCGACATTATCTACATACCTAGCGGCTCTCAGCTCAGTTATCACTATTAAGACAGGCGTGAAACTAACGAAAGTGCCAGAGTTACTGGCCTTCCCACGCTCTTTTAAACTGGAGGACCAGCAAATGAAATTTAAAGCGCCGGCTTGGGATCTCAACGTGGTATTACGACATCTCACCAGTGATGTGTACGAACCACTAGAAAGAACTTCTTACAAATTTCTTACACAGAAAACGCTATTTCTGATCTTTGGCTACAGCGTACGTGGCTACATCGCTGGACTTCGAACGGATACATTTTGACACACGTCACAACACGGTTCATCTAGGATTGAGATGGGATTTCATAGCTAAGAATCAACTGCCAGGTCAACGGATACGTTTTGCATTATCTACAATCCTTGGTCCACAGGATATACAAGATATATCAATGTGTCAGTCAGGCTTATATCTACAAAGTCTAAAACCAGCAAAAATCTTTTTCATCCCCATATCGTCGGAGACACCCACAGAGATCTTACGTTACTACGATATCAGTTTGGATGAGAGTAATCATACTCTCTGAGCCTACAAGGCAGCGGACTTGAGCCTCCTCGAGCCTCCAATCCACACGAAGTTAGAGCACTGGCATCTACACTCGCTCTACATGGAAACTGCTCAATATCCACGATCATGGAAGGGTGTTTTTGGAAATCGGAGACAGTATTTGCTAACCACTACATCAGAGACATTGCTACCAGGACGTCTCCGGTATCCACCAGTTTGGACCCCTGGTTGTAGCTCAACAACTGACGGTCCCTCAAAGGTGCTGAGATGTATCTCGCCCTTTTTATCGCATGTCATGCAAAGCTCGTACTCCAAGGAATAGAGCTTATAGTCCATGTACACGTCTAGAACAGACTAGCTTGAATATTGGACCCTGTACTTGTAAGGAATTACTGGTACACGGATTGGACACTACTCCAGGTCACTACTCCACTTGATATTTAAATCCACATGTACGATTACAGAAGAGTTTGATATATTGTGGTCCCCACAAAATACCAAATTATTTCGAGATATGGATCAACAGCAGCAGTGCCATTTAAAGTTCCCATGGGGGTATATAGGACGTAAATTCTTCACTAAGGAATCCAGAGGTGGCTTGACACACCACCTATACCGTCGGATTCTACAAGCAATAAGCATGAGTCAGGATAAGGAAAAATATGTAATTTTCTGAATAAAATTGATATTTTATACTTACTCATGAAGTAAGCCCTCCCAACCTCCCCTCAAGGCACTCTGGATTTCCCAGTAAATCAGTGTGTCGGGCTATAAAATACGGAGAGCGTGAAGAGCATGGGAGACAGGTGGCGCCGTTTCCCGCCAAAACCTGGAAAGGGAGGTGACTCCTGGTAGGTGATTTTACGTCCGCTTTTTTTAAGGGAGCTTCAAAAGGGGATTCAAGTGTTCCACTAGCATTCACAAGGAAAGGGAGACAAGCAATAAGCATGAGTCAGGATAAGTATAAAATATCAATTTTACTTTAAAAATTACATTTTTATTCAGAAAATTACATTTTGGTTTTTTGCAGTTTTGTAGTGTCTGATAAATATGAGAATTGCATTCTGTGCTGTCACTGTGAGGTCACAGTGATGATGTTGAGAGAATTGTGTAGCAGCTACATTGCTGGGTTGCAGGTGTGGCGAATATTTGAGCACCTGTATCATGGAGTGACCAGTCTCTATACCTGGGTCAGTAGGATGGACATTGACGGACTTGTGCTGGTCCACGATAGCGATCCCACTGGGTAAGTGTTGAACCACCTGGGTCAGTATGACGGACACTGACGGACTTGTGCTGGCCCACGATGGCGATCCCACTGGGTAAGTGTTGAACCACTTGGATCAGTAGGACGGACATTGTCGGACTTGTGGTGGCCCACGATGGCGATCCCACTGGGTAAGTGTTGAACCACCTGGAACAGTAGGACGGACATTGACGGACTTGTGGTGGCCACGATGGCGATCCCACTGGGTAAGTGTTGAACCACCTGGATCAGTATGATGGACACTGACCTCTGGTGATGTCCCATGCTGGTAAGGGACCATTCATAATTTATGGCTAGGGAGGGCGATGATGATTTTAAGGAGAAGCATGTCCAATGTGAATGACACACCACCCCCAACCCCCCACCCCACACCTAAAATATATGTACAAAGTAAGTGTAACAACCTGCATGTCGTGTACTCATGTAATCAATGGCTCCCTCCTCTAGTCCATGTGTACAAAACTGATGACACAACCCAAGACACACACACACACCTCCCCAGAACAAAACAAAATCATCTTATACCCCCCCCCCTACCCCCCATCAGTAGGCCATAAATTATCAACGGTTCCTAAGTGTTTGACCACCCAACTCGACCAGGAGGATGGACATTGACAGACTTGTGCTGTTCCACAGTGGTAACACCCTTGGGTAAATATGCTTTACCATCTTGGTGTTTAAGATGGACATAAACAAAATTTAGCTGGTTCATAAGGGCCACCCCTTGGTGTTGTTCCAGAAGTGAAGTGCATTTGACCAGACTCAACTTCTTGGTTACTAGAACGGACATAGAAGGAACCTCTTGTGAAATATGTGCAATGTGAAGGTTGGAACACTTGGTGTCGGTGAGCACTTCTCTTTCAGATATGTGAACTTCCTGCACAACACCTTGGTGGCAGAAACGGAGAGTCAGGGGGGACAACTCCCCACCAGCCTTAGTCAAGTCTCACACCAGCAGGAGGTCATCCTCAGAGTCATCGAGGTCCGTTTTACAAAGTGTCGTTAGTTACAGTTGGATTTCTGTAATAAAAAAATTCTGGGATTAACATTGTTTAAATTTAGTTAATCAATAACTGAAAGTATACAAAAAGTGGAATGTTTCATGTGTCCAGTCTATATTTCACCTCGTTTCGTGAAAAGTTTTTTGAAGTGATCATGATGTCCTCTTTCTTCAAGTAGCAATGTCCAACTAATGGTATAATCTTTCATTATGAGCTGGGTGTCCCCTGTTGTGATCGGGGCAGTGGGGTAGCCTAATGGTTCAAGCGTTGGCTCGTCATGCCGAAGACCCGCGTTCGAATCCCCACATTGGCACAATGTGTGAAGCCCATTTTTGGTGTCCCCCACCGTGATGTTGCTGGAATATTGCTAAAAGCGGCGTAAAACCAAACTCAGTCAGTCAGTCAGTCCCCTTGTTGTGAATTCCAGGTTTGAACTGGACCCAACAAACCTCTGTAATTCGTAAAAGGTGGCTTAATGGATCTGGTTAGGCTTGTGGCTTGGTTTATTGTGTTATCATTCCCCAACTGTGTGGATTATAGCTCCCAATATCAATCACAGGATTGTCAGGTTCAGACTCAAGTATTTACAGGCTGCCATCTTTGGTAGCAATATTGCTGACTGGATTTATGCAACAAACACACTCTCACACGTTCTTTTTCCAGAGGCTTAGACGGAAGAATGTAAACAACATTCTTACACTTGGATTTGGAGCTGTAAGTAGATTATTTAGCTCACCTTACTTCGACATTGCTATGGCCGAAATCTGCGACGGTTTGGCCTGGACAAGAAGTGGTCCAGATTAACAAATTTCCAGATTATGAATTATTGTTATACAGGAGTGTTTTCCGTGAATGTGTGCAGACATTCCTTTATGTAATTGTTTCATGATTTCCTGGACCCAGACTAAGACAGTTTGTTTGTATCACTCTATGATTCCAGATGAACATGGGTCAAACTCAGGATTTTCTGTATTACAGATGTCTGACAACCCAAAGGCACACATCAGTCATATGCCCAGCTTGGAATACAGGTTCCCTAACAGTGCCTTCAACAGACTCCAGTACAGCCCCTGGAAGACACTGTTGTCTAGGTAGGTGAACACTAGTGCCTTAAAGGGGTTGCAATACAGCCCCTGGAAGACACTGTTGTGTAGGTAGGTGAACACTTGTGCCTTAAAGGGGTTGCAATACAGCCCCTGGAAGACACTGTTGTCTAGGTAGGTGGACACTTGTGCCTTAAAGAGATTGTAGTACAGCCTCTTGAGACCGCCTCCGTGGTGTAGTGGTTAGAGTGTCAGCCCAGAGAGCAGAAGGTCGCGGGTTCGATCCCCGACCGTGTCATACCCAAAAGACATTAAAATATGGTACTTGTTGGTCCCTACCTGGCGCTCAGCATTAATGGGTACAACAAGGACTGGTCGGCTTGGAGTCAGTATAATGTGTCTGAGTGGGGTATTCTTGCTTTACTGCGGCATGGTATCTCAGTGGGCTAGCACTATAAAACCAGCTTAAGTCTGGGCTAGTACAAGCAGCTGCACCTACACATACACGCATGCACGTCGTCATATGAGCGAAATATTCTCAAACGCGACCTTAAATCCAATTTCACCTCACCTCACCTCACCTCACCTCACCTCACAGCCTCTTGAAGACACTATTGTCTAGGTAGGTGAACACTTGTGCCTTAAAAAGATTGTAGTACAGCCCCTGGAAGACACTATTGTCTAGGTAGGTGAACACTTGTGCCTTAAAGAGATTGTAGTACAGCCCTGGAAGACACTATTGTCTAGGTAGGTGAACACTTGTGCCTTAAAGAGATTGTAGTACAGCCTCTTGAAGACACTATTGTCTAGGTAGGTGAACACACTATCTTGTGCCTTAAAGAGATTGTAGTACAGCCTCTTGAAGACACTATATCAGTGGACATTCTTTGAACAAGAGTTACAGTATTTGCAAAAGAATGTTTGTGCTAAGATGATTGTGTCCCACATACTTAACAGTTGATAAGATAGCTTTATGGAATGAGCACCACACTCCAGTCTACATGGACCTCTAACCTCATAAAATATCTGTAAATCAAACTCTGTTGGATTGTAGCTCTTAAGAACCCTGTTTGTTCCACCAGGATTGTCCAGCTGATGTCCCTCCAACTATGTCCAACTATGTGAGCAGGTGCTTTATATGATTACTACCCAGTTTAATACTCAAGACTTGACTCCGGTTACTGCTCCTGGAGCGTACCAGTGTGTTCCACCATGTCCCACCCTCCAACTATGTCCAGCTGACAGGTGCTTTATATGATTACTACCCTGTTTAATACCCAAGACTGGACTCCAGCCACTGCTCCTGGAGCTGTACCAGTGTGTTCCACCTTGTCCAACCCTCCAACTATGTCCAGCTGACAGGTGCTTTATATGATTACTACCCAGTTTAATAACCAAGACTGGACTCCAGCCACTGCTCCTGGAGTGTACCAGTGTGTTCCACCTTGTCCAACCCTCCAACTATGTCCAGCTGACAGGTGCTTTATATGATGACTACCCAGTTTAATACTTAAGACTGGACTCCGGTCACTGCTCCTGGAGCGTACCAGTGTGTTCCACCTTGTCCCACCCTCCAACTATGTCCAGCTGACAGGTGCTTTATATGATTACTACCCAGTTTAATACTCAAGACTTGACTCCGGTCACTGCTGCTGGAGCGTACCAGTGTGTTCCACCTTGTCCCACCCTCCAACTATGTCCAGCTGACAGGTGCTTTATATGATTACTACCCAGTTTAATACTCAAGACTTGACTCCGGTTACTGCTCCTGGAGCGTACAAGTGTGTTCCACCTTGTCCCACCCTCCAACTATGTCCAGCTGACAGGTGCTTTATATGATTACAACCCTGTTTAATACCCAAGACTTGACTCTGGTCACTGCTGCTGGAGCGTACAAGTGTGTTCCACCTTGTCCCACCCTCCAACTATGTCCAGCTGACAGGTGCTTTATATGATTACAACCCTGTTTAATACCCAAGACTTGACTCCGGTCACTGCTCCTGGAGCGTACCAGTGTGTTCCACCTTGTCCCACCCTCCAACTATGTCCAGCTGACAGGTGCTTTATATGATTACAACCCATTTTAATAACCAAGACTGGACTCCAGTCACTGCTCCTGGAGCGTACCAGTGTGTTCCACCTTGTTCCACCCTCCAACTATGTCCAGCTGACAGGTGCTTGCTGTGATTACTACCCAGTGTTGTACCAGGGACTTGACTATTATCTTAAGAATTGCTTGGAATACTTTGAAGCTAACACTAGCACTGATGTGTAAGCACATTGTGGTAAAGTTTCCCATGTTCCAGTGGAATTAATTCACTTGCCATCTGATGTAAGGTTACTGTGGCAGTAATCTTGTTAGTCACACAGTGTTTTGAAAGGGTGTACGGGACTGTAAGACCCTTGTTAAATCTAAAACCGTTCAATATTTTTCAACAATACTTGGTAGATATATCAAACAGAACCTTAAGCGGTGCCTTTTGCTATTTGCAGATTTTTGGCATTTTTATTTTTCCGGCTTTCCATGGAAACGATTTGGACTTAGTCCCAAAAGGGAGGGGTGGGTTTCGTTTCCGGAGCACAACTCGAAAACTTCTTAATATCTTTCAGCAAAACTTAACTAAACCTGCAGAGGTTTCCAATTCTTTGAAGAGAGTCGTCCTTGGGGTACATATATGCATTTTCTGCGGCTGAAAATGTCCTGTGACAGTTGTATCAATGTTTTAATAAAAATAATGTACAATAAATAATATCTTTTTTATTTATTATACGGACCCCACAACGTGGAGTTACCTTCCTGCTACGCATGCGCAGCCAACCAGGTAAGCCCCTAGGCCCGTATCATCATTCCTTCTGCCGAATAAATCAGTGAAAAGAATTGCGGGGAGGTGGGCGGCCCTACCCCAAGGACGACTCTCTTCAAAGAATTGGAAGCCTCTGCAGGTTTAGTTAATACTTTTTCAGAGAGATCGTCCTTGGGGTACATATATGCATAAACACAGACTCCCAAAGACCAGAGGCCAGGGAGGAGGGAATTCTGTCAAAGTACACATGAATAGCGATCGTTAGGAATAATGTAACAGACACCACAACACTCACCTGTCACGTGTCCCGGAGCTTCCGCGAGAGGCATTATGGGAGGGTAACCGACAGGGAGGATAGGTACTTAGAACCGACCTCGTAGGTTAAGCATAGCAAGTTCGCACACAGTGCGAAAATAAACAAGAGAGCACCGTAGGGGGAGAAACCAACTCACAACCGACCATAATCTCCGGAGAGAATCGAAAGGAGTTAGATCACACAACAGCGGATATATCAATAAACACAACTGAAAGCAGCGTCAACTAACCAGATAACCAAGACTCACTCGGTCAGGGTGGCAGGACACTGTCCACTGGAAAGAACAGAACGGCCAAAACGTGCACGATCACGTGAATGTGTATCGAGCTGATAGTGCCTGATAAAAGTGCTAGGCCTTCTCCAAATAGCGGCAGAGCATATCTCGTCAATGGGTAGTGCCGATGCAAAAGCTTTTGATGTGGCTACTGCCCTGACCGAGTGAGCCTTCAACCCCTCAGGGGGAGGCTTGCCTTTAGCCTGATAAGCAGCACAAATGACCGAGACAAGCCAGCGAGACGGGGTCTGTTTGCTCGCTGGCACCCCAGCCTTCCCGCCACCGTAACAGCAGAACAGATGGGTACCCGTACGGATCCCTTGTGTTTGTGTGATATAGACCTTGAGAGTCTTCCGAACATCCAACGGGTGAGTGCTCGTTGGAGAGGTCCCCGATGTGGAAGGCTGGGTAAGAGTAGGAAATTCGATAGGAGCTGTCACATGGAAAGCGTGATCGACCTTCGGGCGGTAAGTATCCGGGAGGCAAATACTGACACGATCTGGATGGAACACAGTCAGCGCCAGGTCTGCCGACATAGCATGTAAGTCGCCGACCCTACACCCAGATGTTACCGCCACCAGAAATACAGCCTTCCATGTTAACAACTGAATGGAAATAGCCGATAGACGTGAGAACGTAGGACCGGACAGCCAATCTAGCACAATTAACAAATCCCAAGGTCAGCTGGGTCACCTGACAGCAGGTCGAACCCGATCCACGCCAGCTAAAAAGCACTGCATGAGAGGGTGCTGCCCCAGAAGAGCACCATCGACAGGGGTGTGAAATAGCGGTGGAGTAGCCACGAATGGTCGAAGCCGCCAAGCCTTCTTAACGAGCTTGCAAAAACTCCAATACTCGGACTAAATCAGCAATCCCCTTATCTGAACACCAGCGTGCATAACGGGACCACCTATCCTTATACTGAACGTTTGTAAGAATCCCGCCTCGAAGCCAGAATTGTGTCTGCAACTGCTGCAAGAATTCCGCATGCTTCGAGGCTAGACCTGACAGAGGCCAAGCCACCCACTGAATCCTTGGATTGGGGTATGGCGCGCCGTTCTGAGTGAGAATGTCCCGTCGCAAAGGTAATAGAACAGGAGGCTGAGCCAGAAACCTGAGAATTACCGGAAACCAGCTCTGGTAAACGGACATAGCGGTGCCAGTAGCACAAGTAGCCGAGCTGGCTGGGTGGACAGCTGGGAGAGGACCCGGGGAATGAGTGAGCATGTTTTCCAGCCCCGGGAGATAAACAGGAAGCACCTGACAGTCGCACTGGTCGCACCAGAGGAGAAATTCCCACGTCTCCCGAAGGAGCGCTAGGGACACGGTGCCACCTTGCTTCAGGATGTATGTCATGGACGTACGGTTGTCCAACTGAAGACAAACCACCTGGCCCTGAACATGCTCCTGGAAGCCCTCGAAAACAGACCGCACAGCTCTCAGTTCCAAGACGTTGATGTGAAGGCGGGCTTCGGCTTCGGACCAGAGTCCGGACACCGACAGACTGCCCAGAACACACACACACACACACACACACACACACACACACACACACCCACCCAGCCCGTGAGGGACGCATCGGTTTGAACTGTAAGAGCTGGCGTTGGGATTTCCAAAGGGATCCCCTTGGAGAGATTCCCGACATTGGTCCACCACTGAAGGTGAGGAGACAACCTCCCGGGGACTGTGAGACACCTCTCCAGATCCTCCGAGTGAGCCCATAGACTCGCCAAAGCTTGTTGTATAGGGCGCATCCTCAACCACGCCCGCCACACTACAGAGATAGTCGCCGCCATATGGCCCAGTAGACGGAGCCAAGTCCGCGCTGGTGCCTGGGGCTCGGAGAGGAACGAAGACACCATCTCCCGTACTCTGGGGACCCGGTCGGGCGACAAGGAGACAAGATCCTTGTGAGTTTGGAACCGCGCCCCGAGAAAAAACAAGTCCTGGGTGGGTACCAGGTCGGATTTCTTGAGGTTTATGATCCAACCCAGTCGAACTAGAACGCCTTCCTTGCGACCTTGCGAGGGTAGCCGGCACTAACATGAGCTTGGTGAACACCCTGGGGGCAGTGGATATGCAGAAGGGGAGCACCGTGAATTGGTAACCCATCCCGTCGTAAGAGAACCGGAGGTACTGCTTGAACAATGGATGAATTAGCACATGTAGATACTCATTCTTTAGATCGATCAACGTAAGCCAATCGCTGGGCTGAACAGAGGAGATCACTGAGCGGAGTGTCTCCATTTTGAAGGATGGAACCTCTAGCATGCGATTCAACCCCTTGAGGTTGAGAATGGGACGGAACCCACCGTCCTTCTTCGGAAGGAGGAAGTACGTGGAATGAAATCCCACCTGTTCCTCGCCTGGTGGTATGCGCTCCATTGCGGACTTGTCCAGCAAAGCCGGAACTTCGTCGCGCAGTATACCCGGCCTGACTGGACATGACGGCACCCGAGTGCGACGTATGCCGGTGAATTCTGGCGGGCCTCGCTTCCACAGTGGTAGATGGCCGACACTGACGGTGGAAAGCACCCAAGTGTTGCTGGTAGCCTTCTCCCACTCCGGCAGGAATGGAGAGAGGCGGCCCCCCACTGGGACATGTGGTAAGAGAGCGTGAGTGGTCCCTTGCAGATGAACTGACTGGGACGGACCCACGGCGACAGCCAGTTGGGTTAACTGGAGGTCGGGGCAGACCTCCCGCGCCCGCGAAAAGGCCGGCAGCCAGACGAAGAGGACTGCTCCTTGCCCTTACCTTTGGCAGGACGGCTCCTCCTCCTACCCTTGCTCAGCGGCCTAAGCCAGCCGGCAGACTCGGGTGTAGGCTGCACCCCGGAGGAGGATACCGTGACGGGGGCGAGAAGCCCACGGATGCTCCAACAAGGCCTTAGAGTCCTTGAAGGAGGTAGCTGCAGCAGCAGCCTGCACTTCGCTAGGTGGGCCTGCACTTCGGACAACTGGCGAAGCAGAACAACATGCGGGGACACGTCCCCAGTGCTCCCTTCAGCCTCCAGAGCCGACCTTTGGATAGAGGAAAGGTAGGCCTCATGGATCACCACCCGCACCTGCTGCATGGCATTCCGACAGACTTCCTCATAAGTCTGGTAAGCCTGCCGCAGAGGGGTGCCCACGGTGGCACTAAACTCCCTTCCTTGGCAGCCGGGGCTGCACCAGAAGAAGCCGAGCCTCCCCCCAGGGCGACCGAAGTGTAAAACGCACTCGTCAACCACCGGTACAAAGAACAGCGAATTGTCCCCCAGCTGGTACCTCTTGACGAGTTCGGGCAAATCGAACCGGAGGCGTGTCCCAACCAGGAGGGGATCCATCACGTCCTGCACCAGGGAAGGCAACATGCCGAGCAGTGTCTGCAAGGGTTGCCTAGGGGAAAACGCCTCGCCCGGCAGGCAGAACTCAGATGAGTCCGAGTCACTGGTGGGTACCGCGGCTTGGGGAATGAACTCGGCAATACGCTGCCGCACCTCCCGGAGAGCCATCGATAAACGGAAAGTGCCCTCCGGCTCCTCGACCTCCCCAGCGTCCATAGACTCCGAGGGAAGGGAAGAGCCGAAGGAACTCCCCACTCCGGCAACTGACACAACACTCGAACCCCGGTCCCGAGACACGGGAGGAAGAACGGGCAGAACTGGCTCCTCCGCTCTCATGGGGCGGGGCGGCGCAGGGAACGGAACCCCAGGAATCCTCAACGGACCCTGCGCCAACACCGAGAGGGGGACTGGGAGCGAACCCTCCCCCTCCGGGATAGCCGCGCCGTCCGGACCC